TATTATATACACTTAATTATGGATTCAAAGTGAGTTTAAAAAACCGTTTTTGTAAAAACTTACTCTATAATAACGGTTGATATGAATATGCTCTGGATACTTTTGAACACTTGGATACTTGGATGTTGAATAGTGCCAAAAAAGCCTTTAGGCAGTCAAAACATACATCACTGAAGAACAGTATATCAATTTTGAAACTTTTGTACGTATATAATGCCACCAGAAATTATGCATTTTAAATTTGGCCACTCGGAAAGATTGTATTACATCTTATGTTAAACAAACAAAAACAACTGTTTTACATCTATGAACCAAACAAATTGTGTTACATCTATTCTGCCAGAATATTCCTGTCAATACGTAGCTAAATATTGTTTATGACAATTGACAAACCTACTAAACTTTGACCTTCAACAAAAAAAAACGACAAAGACCGTCAGAGCAGTTTGGTTGACTATTATTTTGACATTTGTTTAAGTCGGTTTAAACTTTTAACTCTTGTAGTCTTATATTTCGTTTAAACAAAAATATGACGAACCTTATATATTTTTTTTTTAACTTCAGACTACCAGGATGCAACCTACTCCTGCTTCCACACAGGAAGAAACACTTCCTGAGGACAGTCCTCCCAGTTCTCATCCACCCCATCCACCCCAGGGCTACTATCTCACAACTCAATTTCCTCCTTTAACTACAAATTCCACTTCTGTTTATCGTTGTCCTACTTTAACTGCCTTTCTTCACCAGTTAAATCTCTCTCAATATCATAATCTGTTTGTTGAAGCTGGAGTTGGCGAAAATGACCTTGAGCAATTTATGGGGTTTGACGAAACATTCCCGGCGAAAAAGGGGTGATAGCAGTTCGAAATAAAAGATATGTAAAAATGTGATTTGACTTTCACTTTTTCAAAAGTTCATACATTTATTTTCTAAAAGTTTATATATATATTTTTTTTCTAAAATGCCTCATTCTAATGAATCCGTTGTCATTACCGTCACAGTCAGGCACTCGTCTGGATAAAGGGGAAGATACTCGAATGGGATGTCTTCTCAGATTTGCGAGAACTAGGTTTGAGTTGTAAGCATACGGGGTGAGTCTTCTCATTGATTATTTGTCGAGTCATAGTGTATCCGAAGTTACGCTGTCTCGTCGAGGTAATTAAATCTGATAGAGAATTGAAGGCTCTTCGTGGCCAACTATTTCAACAGTTGAACGTTCTCCTCTATCAGTTATTGATGTTCCTGCAGATAAGATGGTTCATTTCTGCGTTAGAAAGGATCGCGGCTAGGAAGTTGGTGAATAGGATACACTCTGACATCGACAGCACGTTGCCGTAGACTATTCCGGGACGTACACTTTGTCAATTAACCGATTATGACACAAATACTCATTATTTTTTTATTATTAGTCGATCGGGTGACGGAGGGGTCGATGACGTATGTGAAGTAGGTGTCTTCAAATTTATTTTTCAATGTAAAATTGGGCACGTCAAAGTTCTATAGGTAATTAAATATGAAAAATAAATAATTGTTTAATGCAAAAAAATAAATGTAAACCAATTGATATTGGTCGCTCAATCGTTTTCGAACATTGTGAGGTTGTTCGAAGAAATCGTGAAGATGGAAAGATTGCTGTGGGTGTCGTAGTAGCACCTTTCATGGACACGTTTTCCCCTGGTGCGTTTGAAGCAGCTGAAACGGCTGAGGACCTAATGCTCTTGTCAGATAGACACGATGTTCCTTTTTATATACTTAACGTTTGTCTTGATAGACTGCGTGGGTACCCCTTACTCATTTTCGATTACACTAATTTTCTTTTTTACTAACAAGAGGATTGGTTCTAAGCAGTCGATTCGTTTTTTAATTGGGCTGGAGCGGAGAGCATAGGTCCGGGATTCATTAAACCTAGGTGCCGCGGTTGGCCCTCGATTTTGATTGGCCAACGGCTGTGATCGACAAAATTCTGGTCCGCATTATTTAATTTTTTAATTTTTTTTTTAATTGCAAAAATAGAAATTTTTAAGGTTGGGTCTGCGCAATAGTAAAATTAGCCCAGAAACATATTTCACTTAATGGGCGGCAACGATTTCACTAGTCGAAATTTGAGTAATTTTGCCTAAATTTTTGATCGTTGCCGTTGGCCATCATAAAAAAATATAAAAGAATTATGTAAAGTAGGGTAAAAGAATTGCCACCCAAAAAAGTATCATGACCAATCATGTCTCAACTAGCCAATCAGATTTCGAGATCAGTTGTAACGTGAAAAGGTTCAAGAAACAAAAACAAGCCAAAAATCGCCCATAACTCAAAATTTCAGCTATGAAACTGTCTTCTGCGTACTAATAAAGATTTTTCCTTGTAAAATTTTGGTATAAGTTTAGCCCTCTAAACCAAACCTACTAGCAATGCCCTAACCCTAACCTAATAGCAAAATGTTTTTCTTAGTGAAATTTTTTTTAATGGGATCACATAATGTGCGAAATCTTTTTTAACTGGTCTCATATCATGTCTCAAGATCAGGTGTAACGTAACACAATCAAGAAAATTCAAAACAAACGGTCGTTTTGTCAAAAATCGCTTATAACCCAAAATTTAGTCTATGAAACTGCCTTCTGCGCATTAATTCAAAGTTTTTCTTATAAATTTTTGCTATAAGGAGTATTTTTAAACATCGATCTAATAATAAAATTCTAACCCTAACCTAAAAAACGAAATTTTACTTGAAACTTTTTTGGGTGGCGATTTTATTCTAGTTGGTAAAAGCGGTATTTATTATTAATAAACTCAGAACTTATTAATACAATATACAATCTATAAACCGAAACTTATTATGATTGACAATCCAAACACATAGTAAGAATCGGTCCAATTTTGTAAAATGATTCCAAATATCATGATTACCTCCCATATTATATTTATTTTTAAAAAGAGTAACAATGATATTTATATTTATTTATTATAACAAAGAAAATTTTCAGTAAGCAAAAGATACCAACAGCAAAAATGTAAATTCTTATTACAGCTGCTATCATTATTCCTGGGCCACCTTATAAAATATTAACCAAATGATTATTCTGCTGATTCGATAAA